GCTCAGTCCTGCGAGTAACTGATACAGCAGGAGAAGCAGCTCATTAAGTCCTGTTAAGACATGTCACAGCAGTCAGGGTGGCCAAAGGGCCTGAATCCTGCTCTGCTGAGAAGCTGCTTGGGTCTGAATTCACCTCCGCGACAGGGTCAAAGCCGAGACTCGAGCTGAGCCGCTGGCCCCGCTGCAGGACCGACCGCGCTGATAGCCCACTTACACTGAGGGACCAAGAGGGCTGCTTAAACAGCCTTCCATTTAAAAAACGCAATTTTGTTAAAATACAACATAAAAAGTAGGCAGGAATTCTTAAGATGACATGAATACTGATTGTCACAGGAACAGAACTCCTTAAAACAAGCGACGTTTGCTCTCGTTACGACTGAGTCTCTCCCTCCAGCCCTGGACCGTCCTGACACTGGTCCTTCGTGGGGCGCTGTGTCTGACGCTGCGCTGTCCCCAAGCTGAATCACGCGCACTGTGCACAGCACCCGGCGTAACGCCCAGAGCACGGGAGCTCGCCGGCTGTCACCTTGCCTCATTAATCAAGTGCTTGCTTAACATTTTAAAGAACACAAATTCAAAGATTTGAACTCCAGCTTCGAAATCTTCCTATATGTTCTCCGATGTTACATAAAAAGTCAAAAGTTCAAAGAAAGAACATCATCAGATACGTCCTGAGCCCTTTTCCGCTCTAGGAAACATGGAGAGTCCGCCAGTCCACTCAGGCCCGGCTTCTCCCTCGTGGGACAGTCTCATCAACAAATCAGACCCCACTGCTTCCCGCCCCCCCCCCCCCCCCGTGACACCCCCACTGCAGACTGGCCCGGGCCACTGTGTGCCGTCCCCTTAGAATACAATACTCCTCCGTGGAGCCTTCCCATGCGCTGTCCAAAAGAAAAACAGACTTAGAGGCCTACGTTGTCCTTCACTTGCTGGTGTGGTCCCTAAATTATTCTATTAACACGGATGTGTTTTTCAGCCCGTAGCCCTGCGGACGGCTCAGAGCCCTGGGGCGGGCCAGCCTTCTGAGTCCACGTTAAATCTCCCGCGGCTTTTCTGGTTTCCCTCCAGGGGGAGTCGTGCCCTTTGTCCCTCCTTTGTGCTCGCTCTGTTGCTTATTTTTCTTATGCCCCGCAGCCGGCAGGCACCGATCCCAGGCGGTTTCTACCCTGAGCTCAGCATCCGCGGCGCCGGGCGGCCACAGCGCTGCTGTGTGCGAGGCTCGAGGGGCAGGATCTCCGCTGAAAGCAGCCTCCGCTGGGGAAGGGCGCCTGGCTGGCTCGTCACTCAGCCTCGCAGCGAGAGCCGCGGCGCCGCGCCCTTCCTCAGCCCGGCCCCCCCGTCCGGTGCTGGGTGTCTCCGTCCTTCGTCACCTCACTTCAGCCACACCCCCGGGGCTCTGTGGGGAGAGACCACAGCCGCACCCAGCCCGGGCGGCGCGGGGGGGCCCACTTCCCCGGCTCAGGCGGGAGGTCAGTCCACTCACGTGGGCCACAAAGACTGATGGGAAAGGGGGCCTCCTCCCCAAAACTATTCTTATCAGGAAGCAGAAAGGGACCGAGGGGTGTGGACAATAAGAGCGGCTGTGTCCTGCCCCCTGCTTCGCTACTCGAGCAGCACCCTGCACGTCCCTTTGCAGTTGCTGACGTCGCTGCGGGGTGACGAGGGCCCCTGGCGGTGATGGCCAACGCCCAGCTCGGTGCCGGCACGTCCGAGGCACCCCGTGCGCCCGCTGAGCTGGGGGAGGCCGCGGGCTCCGGTTCCCTGCTAAACGCTGACAGCGCCTCTGCTGGGCGGCGGAGGAACAGCAGGGACGGGAGCTGAGGGCGCCCTGTCCTGGCAGAGTTGCGTTGACCTTGAAATGGGGCCCGTTTGAAACTTCTAAACGACACCGCGGTCCCATCTCTCAAGTCCCATGACAGTCACTCCCCAGCACAAGGGCAACGGCGCAGGGATAGACGGGGCGGTTCTTCCGCAGAGGAATTACAGGACTGGTTTTACTCTAGTTGATGCTGATCCAGCCACGACCAGCAGCGCTGGAGCCCTCATTCCTCCGTTCATCCGTTCAGCAAATAGACTGAACCCCGACCCAGGGCCGGGAGGACGCGCGCCCCGCCCTCCGGGGCGCACAGCCCAGCGAAGAGGAAGCCTGTGGTGTTCCTTTCCTGTGGCTTCTGTACAGATCACCACGACCGGGTGGCCTGGAACAGCGCACATGTTTTCTCACGGTTCTTTTCGGTCCAAGGTCCAAATTGGGCTTCAGCGGGGGGACCTCGGGGGCAGAGCCGGCCGCCCACGGCCTGCAGGGGGCGCACCTGCCTCTTGCCTGCTCCGTCGTCCCGCGCCTCGGCGCCCACGCCTGGCCCAGGGCCCCCGCCTCTGAGCAGGAGCAGCGGCCGCAGGCCCGTCCCTGCCCTGGGCGCACGTCACCCCCTGGGGGTTCGCCAGCTGCACGTCTTTACCTTCATCACGTTCATCAAATCCATTCGCTCTCGAAGACGGAATTCACAGGTTCCAGGTTTTAGGACCCGGATATTTTGGGGGGCAATTCTTAGCCTACCACACACACTGATGAAATAATTAACAAGTACATTATTAACAATGATGTTTCTTAATTAACCGGGCTTTCGTTTTCTTATAATAGTTAAAGGCACTACAATAAAATAATAGAACTTTTAAACACTCGTAATTTCAAAAGCGTTCCGGCATATCTCTCCGCACGCTCGCAGGGGCTACGCCTCCCAGGAGAACCTCCTGCGGGCGCCGGGCCGGCTGTGGCGTCACGTAAAAATAAAAGCGGAGGAGGGGACGGGGCCGAGCCAGACGTGCTCGCGCAGGCGGGCAGCCGGGGAGGGCCAATGCGTCGAAGCTGCGAACAGTGGTCTGGGAAGGGAAAGGCCATTGTGAGAGAGTTAGCCTTTCAGAATGAATTAGCACGTTCTGGGAAATCGAAGAAGATAAACATATGCACAGAAATGACACTTTATCTTTAGACAATATGATTAATACCATTTTATCAACTAAAAGAATCTGCGAGTAGGGAGACAGCCACAGAATCTCTAAAACCACGAACAGGCTTAAAGCCACGCTCTCCTGTGCGTGTCACCAGCATCCTTACCTCGGGGGCCACCTGTGGCAAAGATGATCTTGTTTAAAGAGCTGTGGCTTTTTTTTTAAAAAAAAGACCCAATCTGTTCTTTCACAAGGAAATTGTACACCAAGGATGTATGATTATTTTTCCCCGTTAGTATAAAGCAAAAGGACACGTTGAATCACATCCAATTTAAATAAATAAAAATTAACAGAAGAACTGGAGAATTTCTCAGATCTGATATGTGTTGCGAGAACAGTAATTTATTCTAATTTGACACGAAAGGTCTTTTGGAGATACTATGCTGATTCAGTATACACACTTAACAGGCTAAATGTTAATGTGAATATTTTATAGGACGCTGAAACCTGAGTGTAGGCATAGAAATCGTATTCACACATGGGCAATCTGGGGGCACCTTGATGACTCTGTCTTTTTAAACCTATTACCAAAAAAAGAAGGCCATTATTATTTTACCTGAGTCTTTGTTACAGAGTTGCAAGTGACACAATAACTTTGCATCAATATAACCGTAGCATTTTTAGCCACTGGATTCTCAGGGATAAAAATGTCTCTTCTGTTTATATGGTTTCCTGATTCTACTGGCTGATTCCTGCCTAGAGCTTTCCATTTCTTGGAGTTGCTGTTAAGTACACAGCTCTTACAAGGGCTGTGCTTCCAGCTGGTGGGTGGGCATTTGTTCCTGTGTTTCCCCCAACATGTCGCTGCCCTGTTATGACCACACGGAGCTTGGACAACGCCCACGGCACAGCTGGCGGGAAGCCACGCGGGGTGATGGGGAGGGGCTGCCCTGAGAGTCGGGCGGCCGAGCTGGCGTCCAGCTCTGTGACCACGCGCCCAGGTGAGCTTGGCAACTGAGAACAGGGCACTACCGGCCTCGCAGACGGCAGCCAGCTCTTCACAAAGGCAGCACTGCTACGCCTTTACGGCTCCCACGCCCGTTCACGGTGTCAGGTGGCAGCTTCTATCACGAGACGGGACATATGTCCATACCCCTGAATGCAGATTGGCTGGGTGACTTGCACGGGTGAAAAGGACGCGCTCAAAATGACACTGTGTCGATGACAAGCCTTGACGTCAGGAGGCTCTGCATACGTCTGGTTTCTGCTGGAATGCCGCACAGGCACCGAGAGAAAGAGCTCAGACTCGCGGAGGGCGAGAGGCCCTGGGGCCGGGCGGGGGCAGCGCCGCTGTCCCTGCTGAGAGCGTGCTGGCCCAGCCAGGTCCCAGGCGGCCCAGGAGCTGGCCGGAGCTGCAGGGCCCCCAAGCTGACCCGAAAGGACAGCCCAGCCGAAGCCACTCTGAGTCGTCGGCTTACAGACTTGTCAGCTAGGTGCGCGGTTATGTTATTTCACTCCATACAGATTTGGGGCGGTTTGTTACAAAGCAAAGCTCACTGATACACAGACATTAATATATTTAGCTTGAATGGGACAATGTGCCATGAGGTGGAAAGAAAAAAATGCAAAAGTGAATCTAGTTCTGATCTACTGTTCTAGATCACTTTCTCTTCTATATCAATATAGCTTTTTTTACCACAGCAATTTCTAAATTTGAGGAAAATATATATATTTCAACTGCAACTTTTAAAGAACTTACTATAAAGGAAATAAAAAGGAACTACTGTTCATTGTTTATTAATGACATAATTATCTATTCTTTTTAATAAAAAATTTTATATTCGATGATTTATAATTAACATAATCTTAGTTCTGTGTAAAAATAGCATTTGATACATTTTTAAAAGATTAAACTCCCTATATTAGCCATAATTTTATCACTTAGTCATTCAAATAACATAGTATTATGCATTTGAAAATTGCATGACCTGTAGAAAAAATAAATCACCTATAGATTATCAATCAAAATTTGTAATAATAGAACCCATTACCTGCACGAGCGCTGATGAGTGGCAGCAGAATTACCAGTTTCCATAGCAACCTCATTTTCACTTGCTATCGTCAAAGTTTCTCCATATAATAAGCAGGAAAAAATAGTCTACCTTCCAGTCAGTATCTCCAGAGTCTGAAAGAAACAAAATTGTCATGAAATCACAAATACGCAAACATGCATATTTTAAAATGTATATGAATTGTTGTATTTTAACTTAATATTAAAATTATCCAAAATAAAGCAACTAAAGGTCTATGTTTTACACATATATCTATTTTGCAAAGTTTCATAATTTCAGTTCACACCTCAGATATACACTTCACTTGCCATCAAATTTGTGGGAGCAGTTAATGGTTTGGAATGAAATTATACTGAATGAATTCCATGTGGATTAAAATTTTCATTAGTATAATGTGAAGTCCAGTTGTTCTAAAAATGTTAAAGACAATTAAAAACTTATTAAACCAACTGATGCAATTCTGTTGTTAGCTTTTATTTTTGCTTTTACACCATCAGGAATGAGATAAAATATTGCTGTCTTAATATTAACAGTGATTTTGTACATTTCATGGATTTTTCAATATTCTTATCAACGTAAATGAAAACAATCTTGATAGTGTTTTTATCACTATTGTTGAGAATATGTTCATTAGGAAGCATTACCTTCCCTAATATATACTTTATTATATTACAATATTATACAATATATTATAGATATAGAATATACTCATTAGAAAACACTATTTTTCCTATTTTTACTAGAAATAAAATTAATACAGTGCTACAAAATTTCTGCAGGGAATCAATTTCTGAAAGTGTTATCTTTCAAGTATGGACATACTTTCCCTATGGGATGACATCATAGTTTTCTCTAATTTATTTTGACATTTATACTTTCCAATGATAAATTAATATCAGATCAAGTGTTTGTTTGGCCTTTACTCCCAAAGAGTAATCTAATAAGAGGCTCATAACCTCAAAGAAGTATAGAATAAATTCAGAATAAAGTCACGTAGGTCACATTTGATAAAATTATTACGTTTCAAATGACAGAACCCTTTGAGACTCTTAATTTCACGGAAACATTTTCTTGCAACTGCAAATACTTTTTGAAGTTACTTATTAACTGTAAAGCTAGTAAGGGCACTTTGATCATTTCCTGATCTACAGTATTTTTAAATTTTAAAAACCTTTCATTTCTTTCTGCTACTAGTTACTTCCACTTAAATCAAAAACAATCATCCTACTAAACTTAAATGTTTTGATATCTAAGTTTAATGCTTTCAAATTTAAACAAGGAATAAAAATCAAAGCCGAAACAAACAACATTCAGGTCAGAATCACACTGAGTTGATGTTGTCCCTTCACAAATTCTCTCTTACATCATCTTTCCATTTCATTCAACATCAAAGACTTTAACTCTTCACACCTAAATGAAACCATGTTCTAGGTACAGTCATTCATTTACAATTTTTTCAGCCAACAGTCCCGTATGGACTTGTCTGTGTTTACGTCCATCCTCTGCGAGACACTGGGTCCGGAGGGGGTGCAGGTGAACCCCCAGCCCTTCGGTCCTGCCCTTGCGGTCGTGCTATTTTGAGAGACACAGACGCTTGATACCACATCTCTCTCACACACACACACGCACGCGCGCGCGCGCGCGCGCACGTTAATAGTTTCACGCGGTAAATACGGGACCACACTAAAGAAAAACGCGCTACGGGACGTTCGGCGTGGGGCCCAAGCCGTATTTTGAGCCCAGGCTGGAAGACAGCGGCTCGCGGCCAGGGCGGGGCGCGGGGCGGGCGGGGGTCTCGGGGCCGGGGCCGGTGAGACCCGGCGGCGGCGCTGCCCTGGCGGGGCGCGCGCGGACAGAGGCCCCGACGCAGGGCAGAGCGCGTGTCCGCAGGGGCCCGGTGCGCGCGGGGGCGGGGGCCACGGGCAGGCGCAGCCCGAGCCGCGGCCGGAGCGGGCGGGGCGGCAGGCCAGCCGGCGGGCCACGCTGCCGCGGGGATGGGGCGCTGCACACGGGCACTGGGGTGGGAGGGTTTCCGGCAGGACAGAAGCACCTTCCTCTTTGCCCTGCAACAGTGCCCTGGCTGACGTGGGCAATGGAGGCGACAGAGTGAAAACGGGGGTCACACGGATGAACTGAGAGGCGGCGTCCGCAGTCCAGGGAAGCGCGACGCCGGCTGTGAACCGCCCTGGCACCGGAGACGAAGGAAAGCGGCTCTGAACGGCCCCGGTGCCTCCACGTCTCGTCCTTCCCACTCCTGGGACCACCACGGGCGAACGGCATTCCCACAGCACAGGCTTTGCCCGAATCCTAAAGCCTTTGCTCCCCGGCCAACGCAAAAACGCCCGAGGTCCTTGGACTGGTTTCCAAGGTCACACACGATGCATCTCTAACTGTGCCCCCATCCGAGCACTCAGCAGGCAATGTGCGTGCGGACACACGGGCCCGTGGCCCACACGCCCTGCACAGGACGGTACGGGACCTCCACAGGGACGCTCGGACCTGCCCGGGGCGCCCGGCGGGCGCCCATGCCTCCCGTGGAGACCGTGCCCTGATGGCCTGCCCAGGCACCGGTCTCCCAGGACAGATTCTACTCACGGAGGTGTCATGGCACAGGGAGCAGCTGTACCCTCCCCCACCCCTCCCTCCAAAGCCGCAGTTTACAAGGTAAATTATAGGGATGGTTGACTTAGGGGGTGGATAGTCCTCATCTCCCAAGTGCCGTGCTGACCCAGTTTGGGAGACGTGGCTAAAAGCTCTCCATTCCCCTGGGCAGACGGGCGCTCAGCGCCAGCGCCTGCCCCCACGCCCGCCCCCGCTGAGCTCCAGAGCTCCTGGGCTGTCACAAGGCACATACCCCCAGTCCCCGGAGGCCCCCAGGTACCTGCCACCCGGGAATGGCCTCTTCTGCCTGGGCGGGTGGGATTATTCAAAATCTCTCCAGTCCCCCAGAAGCCCCCAAACCTGGCTACCCACCCCTGACGTCGCCATAGACGAGCTGCCTCCTGCGGCCCCGACGGCTGCCCTGCGCCCCTGGGCGCACCCCGCAGGCCCCTCCCGCCCTGGCACCTCCAAGAAACAAACTCTCCCTCACCATCTCAGCGTCACGTCCTTTCGTGGCCCTGGGCGTGTGTCCCCCCACCCACAGCCCATACTCACACCTGATACCACGGAATGAGGACCGCCCCCCGGGCTTAAATCCCCGGAGTTCCCAGGGGTGAGCCAATCAAGCAAGACGCTTGCATCACCCGGTTTGGACTGCGTGTCCGTCTCACGACCGGCATCCAGGACGAGCTCCTTCGGCCCTCGTCCTGAATTTCGGTGACGTGTTTACTGAAGACTCCAGACAAGCTGACGTGAGGCCGACCCTGGAGGAGTGTCCCTGCCAAAGGTCCCGCGACAGTGAACCTCAAAGACCCCCACCATCGGGGGGAGCACTTGCTCGCAGTGCTGTTGCGGCGTGCGGCGCGCAGCTCACGGTCGCTCGGCAAGGACGTGAGTGCCTGGCCCTTGACAGCCAGCGCCCCGGTTTACGAAGAAAAGGTAGTTCGGGAGCCCAGAGACGTTGCGCCTTCTACTGCCTCTTTCTCTTAACCGTCTGAGTAACTTCGGAGGATTCATTTGCAATTACACTGATTGACAGTTTTCTCCTGGGAGAACGGAAGGATTTGACCTAGAAATGACCTTTAAATTCGTCCCAGCTCTCATACTCTGAGATTGTTTGATTCGACCCAGTGTCTAATTTCCCAGCAAATACTGCCCTTTACCATCTGATTGCTTATCAACGCCCCGTAATGAGGGCAGAGCCCAGGGGACGTCTCATTGGGCGACGCTCGGCAAAATGGCCTGAGCAGCTCCTATTTATGCATCAGCTGCCATTTGTGAAAGTTCCACTTTTTAAAAGTTTAAATTGCCCGAGGAAGCAGAACTCTCTGACACAATGGGAACAGCCCGGATCAGAGGAGCCCGGTTACAAGCCCACAGCAACGGGGCGGGGGGGCGGGGGGGGCAACACTCTGCAGGCACACTTCCCGCCGCTCGCTGCCACACACAGGAGCCCCAGGAACCGCTCTCGGTCCCCAGCAGCAGCCTCAAGATGGCTCAAGGCGAGAGGGCGGAGGCCTGTGTGCCCGCGGAGCCCGCCTGGCCTCCCGGAAGGGCCGGCAGAGTTGCAGCAACGCGTCTCCAGCCGAGGCTGACGGCGGCTGTGGCCTGGACAAGGCGCGGTCCTGGCTGCCACGCTCGTTCCCAAGGTCAATGGCTAAGTTCCCGTCTCTGTTATGACTGGACCTACTCTGTCCCCTCTAGGCCACGTGCGTTTCCCTCTTCTCTCGTGGAATTTCTCAATGCAGAAGTAACAGTTTTAAACACTCCCACAGAAGAACACGTATTGTTCCACAGGCTCTCTCTGGCCATTCCAAAGTTGTTATTTTTTTTTAAAGTCTCTGAAACTTGAAATAGCTTTATGTTAGGTGGCAAAATGCACGTGGAGGCAAAATGTGTCCTGAATGGACAGGATGTTCTCTAGTCTGTTTTATTCAACTTAGTATGAATATTGATGTTTTTCTGATAAACCAGAAATGCTGGTTCGCGGTAGAGCTGCCGTCCACTGAAGAGCTCATCTAAGCGCACGTCGCCCTGGTCCGCGCTGGCTGCTGAGGGCTAAGCGGGCATCGGCCAGCGCCCGCCTGCTTCTGCCCATCTGGACCCCGGTCCACGCCTCATCCACGAACCGTCAGCGGCCGCCTTGGTGCTACAGGCCAAGGCGAAGGGCCTTGTCAGAGGCAGCGTGGCCTCCGCCCTGAAATGTCGACCGCCTGACCGTGACCCACTTAGAGCTTCTGGAAGCTCTTCCTCTGACCCTGCGCCGGGACGCCTGGAACTCCAATGCGCGTTGGGCCGTAAGATCTCGGGTGAAGGGCGGAGGGACTGCGTTTCTCTAACCCTCGTCTGCGGTCAGCAAAACCGCCGCGGGTTTAGCAGAAAGAGTTTAGCCCCGCGGGTTTAGCCGTCCCTCTGGCCTGCGCATGTCCTGCT